GTAATTCCAATTGTGTACCAGGCGTTCTACATAGTAATTCCGACGATCAGCATTTTTGGAAATGCATTCATCGTTTACGTTACCATTCGCTCAAAGTAAGTGCAGCTACATCGAGAGATTCATCTAAAATATCTTTCATGTAACCTTTCTTATTTTTCTCCTGCTTTCTGACTCGTTTTGTTCCTCTTTTCCATAAATTTCATTGCCGTGTTTTGCCCTCTGTGTTTCGTTGAACTTTTGAAATATTCAAGATCCCTTCGGAGCATCTGCGATATATTCATTGCGTTGATATCAGTTGGTGACGTACTGCACAGTTTGGGCCACGGCGTCGCGATCATTTCTTATAACATGTAGGTTTGCCCATTTTTGATAGCTGATAGCGCTGCAACCGCATTGATTTAAATGCAAACATTTTCCTGTGTAGCACAACTCGGAGGTATATTTTGGTGAGGAGCGAGTAGCGCAGTGATAGTGACTTCAGAACCCGTTTGCTACGCGAAAACACCAATAAACCCAAGCTCTGCTTTGAAACAGCACCGTGCCCAACAAGCCTATCATCCATTGGCGGATCGACTCGACCAACACTCAATAACATTCTTAACTAAGGCGGAAAAACCCTCAAACAGCAACCAAACGCACTGGCAAAAGCACTTCGAAAACCATTGATGGTGAATGAGACGGGACGATTGGAATTCAAGTTAAGTGATCCACGTGGCCTCTCTCTCATACCTACGGTGTCTGGTAAATGTTATGCCAGGTCATGCAATAACGGCAGTAAAAGTAATAACAATCCATAGTTGTAATAAGAATAACAGTGGCTGTAGTAAAAATAAAGTGGAAAAATCATGGTGAGAAAGCTGAGTCTTACTATAACGTCCACGAAGAACAAAGGTATTAGTGTGACGCTGCTGAAATTAACTCTTTCACCTTAAAACAGATTGCAAAACTTTAACTCTAATGATAATTCTTAATAAGGTAGTGAAAAACATGGTAGCAGTTGTAACATTAGAACATGCTTCAAACATCATTGCGTTGGTTATGGAGGTTTCAGTAGCAAGGACCATCGAGTACGTCAGGATATCTGCGTCTACATGCAAACAATTCCATTGCTTGGGTGTTTCTTCTCGTCTTTGATGCTTCTCTACCTAGCATTGGATCGATTACTATCATTGCACAAAATCTAGTGAGCTCCTTCTTAACACGATAATCTCAAAAATTGAGGGCTTGCATAAAACTATCTTACGATGCTAAGGCAATCAGAGAATGTTTTAGCCTCATCATAGACAATCTGTACAAGAAGCCTTACATGACAATACTGATTCTCTCAGCGTTCTTGTATGCACTCGCCATCGTTACCTGGGTTTTTGTTAATAGAACGTCGACAGAGTGCGTTTTTCCTTGTTTAGTAATGATTAAACTAGTTTTCGTTACAGATCGAGCACATGCTGGCTGCAGACTGGCCTGGGAGGATAGAGGCACTAATCTTATACATCCGTACGCAACTGGAAATCATGCGCAAGCTACGTGTGCTTCCATGCTGTGCACGTTGAAGTCCAATGCATCGCACATCTCTCAGGAATTGATGAATGATTAATTTTTTCACTGTTTTGCTGATGAGAGTACAAACGGTTCGTATTGCACTATTTATTCACAATAACTGAGGTCTTCGCATCATCGTCTTCTTCAGTTGCTGGAAAGACCAAATTGACACGCCATCCACTGAGCAAAACACTTTCATAACCTCAGCAGAAAAAACTCTTTACTCAAATTGCGCTCCCGTTGTAAACAGCTTCCTTCAAACAATTACCGTTTTGCTTTTTATAAATATTGCAGTTGTTTATCGTGAACGACCGTGAAGAGTGAATATATGTGGAGAAGGTGCTTTTCATAGGTTAGACGAGCCGTCTGAGGTACGGTGAAAGTTAGGCGTCATAGAAAGACATTCCTCTCTGCAGCTCATTTTTGGACTTTTGCTATTTGTCCTGAACGTTCCATTTGTTTTCCGCTTTAATGTTTTAGATTTTTGTGATAGAATAGTAACCTTAGCTTCAAAATCTTTTCGATTGCGTCTACTTGCTGCATTTTTTATTCGATTCCGAGAGTACCTAGTGCAGTGTTTTTTTTCACTTTAGGTTTTCCGATAGGGTACTCCTTTTAACAGATGCAAAGTTGTCTTACCCATTTTTGAAACTTACTGGTTTCTATACGTCTTACAAGAGGTCATATAAACCTAATCTGAAGTCATGGAATAACTATCTCTCCCGTTAGGCAAACGCTTCAATTCTACATTGTGGGCGAGGGTTCGTATAAACTGTTGCCGAGCTAGCTGGCTTTTGAAGTATCTGGTGGTGTTTCAATCATTACTACCGACCACTCTAATCCGGTTTTTTTTATGCAACGTTTCATGGCTATGATTATTTACTTTGTGTCGAAGGAAGGGTAAGGGCGCAAAAAGGGGATTACGATCGATTAAAATGCGATCAAAATTTACCTTTTAAACTTTTATTCCAACAATATGAAGGAGTTGGACTAAGTAGATTGCATGTCCATCTGGCCGTTCCAGACTCTCAAGAAGGCGAAACCTTTGGTTCGTAGGCGAAATGTAAATAAATAGTGTGATAACAAATCCGTGTCAGCTCATCAAACAAACAGTGACCTGGTGAACACAGCAGGAGTTGGAGGAATATCCATCCTGAAACTTACCACATGACGTATCACCTTTGCTTTACTCTTTGTGGATTCGTACTCAATGAAAGACTTTCAACAACCTTTCTAGGATGGCATTCTACAAATTACAGGCTAATTCAGCATACTGGGTGCTCTCTGCTATATTTTTTCTAAGGATTTTTCTTGTGTGAGATATCGCGAGCGGAGTGGTCGCGTAAGCACGTGAAGCTTTCCAAAAAGAAGAATGGGATATCCAGCAAGCATCTGATCTACATCTCAGCTGGATTTGGCAATCGGAATTTCTATCTCTGCTTACTTACAGAACAGAAAACCCAAACACAAAGAAGTGTACACAGTTTCGAATAAAAATAAAATTTGTATTTCAGGACAATCATTTGTTTTATCACATCACCAATAACCGGCTTGGTTTATGATGTGATGATTAATTCCATTGTGGTCTTCAATATCCTGATTATTATTTGTTACATTTTGTTTATTTGTTTTCTAAACAAAATTGGAACAAGTAAGTTGTCAGAAATTCTACAGAAATCTGAAAACTCATTCGACGACGCCTTTCCAGGTAGCACAAATATGAAGCATATTTATCGCTCGCTGATCGTCGTCAGCCTGACAACGGTGTTTGGTTGGTTCAGCACGATTATCATTGCATTTGTTGCCAACCTTCTGCAAATTGAAATTGAGCTACTGTACGTTCAACTGCTGGCTGGACTTTTCGTGAATTTTGCATGTGCTGCGAATTTCTTCGTCTATTATGTGATGAGGTTAGTGGGAGCATTCCAAGGGCAGAAAACGAGAAAACTCCTATAAGGCTGAAATCGCAACCTTAGGTTGATCGGCTCTAAGACACAAGAACTGATTTTGATTAAGGAACGAGCTATTACAGATGGAGTTATCTAGAAAAACGGCTGTAATGTTTCTATTCCATCGAAAAATATTACGCCCGCTCGTTATTCCATAGAGCGATTAACTCTAGGAATAATCGTTATTACTCATTTCAGTGAAGCAATCCAAAGTTCCAATTTCGGCTGACGAGTAAATACAATGGATCTTAACATTCGAGACGATACTTAAAGTAGCTGAGCCGGATAATTTTGCACATGAGCAAAAACCGAGGCAAAAGTGTAGTAGTCGCTAGCTCGCAGCTTTTTTAGTTTTGAAACCGACCGTCATTTGAGCTCTATAGTGAGGTAATCAGCNCATTCGACGACGCCTTTCCAGGTAGCACAAATATGAAGCAGATTTATCGCTCGCTGATCGTCGTCAGCCTGACAACGGTGTTTGGTTGGTTCAGCACGATTATCATTGTATTTGTCGCCAACCTTCTGCAAATTGAAATTGAGCTACTGTACGTTCAACTGCTGGCTGGACTTTTCGTGAATTTTGCATGTGCTGCGAATTTCTTCGTCTATTATGTGATGAGGTTAGTGGGAGCATTTCAAGGGCAGAAAAGGAGAAAACTCCTATAAGGCTGAAATCGCAACCTTAGGTTGATCGGCTCTAAGACACAAGAACTGATTTTGATTAAGGAACGAGCTATTACAGATGGAGTAATCTAGAAAAACGGCTGTAATGTTTCTATTCCATCGAAAAATATTACGCCCACTCGTTATTCCATAGAGCGATTAACTCTAGGAATAATCCTTATTACTCATTTCAGTGAAGCAATCCAAAGTTCCAATTTCGGCTGACGAGTAAATACAATGGATCTTAACATTCGAGACGATATTTAAAGTAGTTGAGCCGGATAATTTTGCACATGAGCAAAAACCGAGGCAAAAGTGTAGTAGTCGCTAGCTCGCAGCTTTTTTAGTTTTGAAACCGACCGTCATTTGAGCTCTATAGTGAGGTAATCAGCATGTGTTTATACTGTTGAGCTTACACGAGGTTGACAAAGATGTTTATTTGGCTAACGTCTCTGCTATTTCGTCTTTATCAGAGCCGGATATCCAGGAAGAGATGAGGTTGTATAAAATAAAAATAAAGACGATAGCACTAGTTATCTTACTAGTAATTACTAATATCTAACCTTAGTAATGACAATAACTGTTTATACAAGCTCTCTTTGCGGAAAGTATGTTCCGCTCTAATCCCATCGCAACAATCCGTTTCAGCAAAGAATACCGTCGACAATTCGTTGAGGTCCTCCTCATTATTCATGCCAAGAGACTTCTTGGGATCAATAGCAGCAGGGCAGTCACTGTCAACCCGCTAACCAATCGGCATCCAGCAGTGCCGTCATTAGGGACACGAGAGCTTCAAGTGCGAAATGTTTAAATGGTCTTGAGAATGAATCTTGAGTTTTTTTTTGAAGTAACTGTGTAATGTTGAATGCTGTAGTAATAGCCGATTTTAATCGTATTTGTGAAAAATTGTAGAAGAAATTCCGGCTATAGGAAATGTTTTTACCATAAATTATAAAAAATATAGTCGTTTTCGCGCGATGCTCCCGGTGGAAATCTCGCAGAAAGCGGCTCTGAGGAAGACCAGTCCCTCCGAAACGTCATCCTCTTGAGAGCTTTGTGAATGAAAGTGTAGTGAAGACCGCGTGTGTGCTGAAAACAAAGAATCATTGTGGTCATAAATCACAGCCTATTCGTTTAAAGAGCAATTGTCTAACAGCTTGCTAAGTTAAGTTCCCAGCCTCACTAAAGTGTATTAGTATTCATTCCACGGCATACGAGGCTGGCATTAAAGCATTTATTAGCACGCAATAGCTGACGCTTCGGCGATTCCGCGGTCTTCAGAGCTTGGAAGGGTGAAATTGACATGCAGTAATCTCAGCCAAACACTTTCACAACCTCAGCAGAGAAAACGTGACAGATCAGTTTTCATTCGCACAATAAGCAGTTGTTCCTAAACATTCATTGTTTTGTTTTTTGTAAATATTTAAGTTATTTGGTGAAGATCAGCAGCACAGAGCATTACTTAGGCGATGAATGTGCCCTCCTCATGTCGAAGGATCAGGAATGGCGCAAGGGCACGCGTTATCACAGGATACTCCTCCATGTGGTTTATTTCCAGATTTCTGAAATTTTTCAAAAACGGTTCAAGAGCTTTTCGTGTTGATGTTATGGTTTCTCTTCAAGTATAGTGGCTTTTACTTCAAAATCATTAGGATTTAGTCATATTCACACGCGCATAGGATATGCACAAAGATACTTACCATCTCTGCAAGGGTACGTTAACGTAAGCAAATATCTTGACTACCAATTCAATACAGCCAGGAGATTCATCCACCTGAATCAACAAATGAGTAACTGCAAGACTGCTTATGATTCGCGCTAAATCTCGTATCCTCCGCCTATGATTCCTTATAAAAAAATCAGCACTACCCAAAATAAATTCTTTCTATTTCTGCTATCGCATTAATCTTCACAATGAATCTTGTGAATGCAATTGAACCTGTGCAGTTCCCATCTTTTCGCTACTTACTGGCACTGAATTATTGACTTACATCTCAAAAGAAGTGATCATGCGATGGTGCGAGAAACCGGGCTCTGCGTTGGTAGCCGGTATCAGCGCAGTACTTCAGATGCTTCAGAGTATCCCAAATTCGCCGAAACACTATACATTTCAGGATTTTACTTAGTGAATACTAGTTAAATTCAAGTGAAGATCGTGTTTTTCAAGGAGTTTGCTTGTTTTCAATAACATAGCAAGCATGTGTTGGTGGGATACGTGCTCAATTACCAACTATATGGAAACGTCTGGAACATCCATTGCTCCTGGCACGGAGATGGAAATTGCGCAAGGATATTCGGAATTCAGAAAATCGCTATTCAACCAAATTGATTCTAGTGTGGAAGCAACTTTTTTCGGTTCCGAGAATTGTGTGACTGTTGCTGAATCCGCCATGTAACGATTCGGTACCGAATACGCCTATTGGCTGAACAATAATTTTAAATTGAAGCAGAGCTGTTATGCGGAAAAAAAAAGCTTACACATTAGAAACTGATTAAATTAGCGATGGTTCTGCCAGAAAATTCACGGAAGGACTTCAAGGACCTCCAGCGCCTGCAAAAAAGGTTTTGGACTTCCTCGATTCAGCTTAGCAAATAAAATCGTAATTTCGCATTGTAATTTGGTGGTAAGAAAATTGTTTCGAAGCTTTGGTTCTCTACAAGACGAAAATACTAAGTAATACTTATCACAGTGATGGACAGAATTAAGGTGACCCTTATGATGCTGAGATATTTGCAAAACTCCGGACCGCAGGTGTCTGCGGTGGGGAACGAACGCGCCAATGCCCTTTCCGGAGAGGAACGCGTTCACCACCCACCCATGTTGTCTTTCGCTTGGCTTGTCTCTCAGCTAGTTCTATCAATCACTTGCCATCAGCAATCACCCGTCAACGGGATTGATCTGAGGAGCCCACATCGGCATTGAGCCCAGTAAAGCTGAGACTATAGTTATAATCACAGTCTTATTTCGCAGCATACCCTGCTATCAAAAAGAATAGGCAATGAATGAAAAGGTTAAGATTAAGGCAATTCGTTGCGCTTTATGAAATGGAAACAATTTCAAATAATGCTCGGCTGTTCATCAGCACAAGAATGCTATTACCATACTTCATTTTCTCTACATTTTACACATATACTTATTTTTGCACTTTCTATCTTTTTTCTAGGACACCTCTCATTTTTTGATTTTCATCTCTACATTAAGAGCTTCTCATGAGAGCTTATTATTGGCGCAGTGGTCGTAGCGGTTGCAACGCGCGCGTGGAATCAATCGCTGCGCCCATGGTACACTAAGCCTTCCATCACTCCGGGGTCGATAAATTGGTACCAGACTTCTCTGGGAGGATAGCAGCACTATGGTAGGCCACCGCGAGTCAAAGGCCAGACGTGCATTCAATCACTTCCAAACGATGCTAAATGAAATCGAATGCATGGCTCATCGCTCAGGGATTGATCAACGCCGAGAGATCTATCCTATATTTTTATTTGTAGTAAACATGAGCATATATTCTTTTTCGTGCGTGTATTTATTACAATAGCGCACTTTCACAAAGCTTTTCTCTCTGGAGTGAACGACGTAATAGTGGACTATTATACAATGAAACCAAAGATCGTCCTCTTCATGATGAAGTCGGAAAAAGCAATTCAACGCGAAAATTTGTTATGTTTTCAAAGCTACCGGTAACTGTTCTTCGAAAACAAACGCCGCGTGGTTTGAAATAAGCAACGAATTGTATCAGTTCGATAGAAACATGGTAGGCAATTAGTCAATGCAGAGCTGGAACTGAAAATCGATTTTCACATAGTACCATGGTACACTAATACAGTAGCACAATTAGAAATGACTTGCTCAACAGCCTGCGAAGCTTAGTGTATTGTCGGTCGCGTAGGGCGTATAAGCGAGAGACTACAGAAGCGCAAATTTTGCAATAAACATTTCAGCGGTGTCATCCCCTTAAGAGAGAAGAAAAATTTCGCAAGCTTGGTAATATTAGGTGTTATATCAAGGATGATAGGTGCTTGCACCACAGTGGTTTAAGGTGCCCTGCAATGCACACGTAGTCCTTGGTTCAGTCTCCCGCTCTTGGCTCGGCTAGCCTTGCATTTTTCCCGTGTAGGCGAATTGGTGTCACGTTTATTTAAAAGGTGGGTGGGACTCGTGACATCACGACTTTGACGAAGGCGGAATCGCCGAAACGTCAGCTATCGACCAACAACACCAAAAACAGCGACAACGCCCACGAAGACCTATATCAACCTCGCATCAGCTAAAAAAGATCAGTTTAAAATATCATATAAATAAACAGATCGGATATCCATACCATAACCGCTGACTGACCCCCTTAAGCAGACCGATGAATTCGACTGCGTGGCGCATGCCTCAAGGACTGATCAACGGCCAGAGGTTCATGCTTTATAAACGATATTCCTAATTGGCAGATTTTCGTATATAATTATAATGCAGCCAATAAAAGATTAAGGGGTAAACCGCCTAACGTTGATCCATTCCTTAAAAATGCAAGATTGTTCGACTCCATTAAACATCGCGAAAGTCATTGAATGCACACTTGTCCTATGCAATGACTTGTTTGGCCGACCAATGTAGAAGTACAGTGCTGTTTCCCTCATGGACATTTTTAGTAACAATTACCCGACTCCAGATGGATGGTTTGCTCAAAGCGCTAGATCAAATGATCTACCACGTGTGTACCGAACATCACTAACCGCTGCGTTAGACGTACCCATACGTTTCAATACATGAAAGGAATCGGAATTAAATACAACTCCTTCACAAAACAGTTAAAACTTTCGGTGGATAATCGGCCTCTGATATACAGGAGAATAAGCATCGAATAGTCATGAAATGAGGTGATTCGACGACAGACCGGCGAGAAGAACAATGGAACTCTGCTTAAAACCATTGAACTGTCTACGGCGTGCTCGTCGCTGTATTGGAAATCAACCAGTTGACGTCTAGTTCATGAGATGGTACACGACACTGTAGCTGCGCTAGTAGCTGGGATTCTTATGGTTTACAAACGATGGAATTCTCGATGGCATGTAAGATAAGGAAAATCATCAGCTCGAAAATGTGC